AAATTTTCTCAACTGAACGGAACCTTGTCCCAGCTATTTTTGGGTTGCTACTCGGATAGATAATCTATACAAGTAAATCATAAAATTATTTCTTATTTCCTTTTAGGACTTTATCTTCTTGTGGATTTTTAACACCTGGAACAGTGGAACTATATTGTGCCTCACCACCTTGACATGTTTAGAAAAGGCACGGTGAATGATGAAGAGTATCTTGATTGAGTAGTTTTACACTTTTACTTTGGATACCATATCTGATGTTGTGTTGATAATATCTACTGTGTTCTACAAATCTAATTTTATCTATAGGGGTTCTCCCCTTTGTTCCAGCAAATTTGATGTTTTGACTACTTAAAGTGGACGCCTTTTCTTAAAAATAAAAAAAAGGTTCTTTAACATAGATATGTTGAAAGGTTCCTTAATCTGCATGATAACTGCAAAACAAGTAGCCCCCTTTTTTGCTTATCCAAATCATTAACTTGTTAACTAGATGGTATGATCACAGATTTGGTTTGATATCTTCTGTCAGTCGTGTAAAATTTTAACATTTTTGATTTTTTTTTTTTGTGTTTCATAGATCTACCAAATCTTTCCTCGGCAAATACAGCGCTGAACTTTGCAACAGATTGCGTGCTTTCCTCATTGCATGCCCTCCAGCTGGCCCTTCGCCTCCTGTTAGAGAACTTTGTCATTGCAACTGCAGATTTTCAAAGGGATCTTGCTACATGGCACATTAAGTAATTAGTTTTATCACTCTACTCATTTTTTGCAATCATGTTTTTTACTAATTTGCATGTGTTGACTTAAAAATGTACCCTTTTCAGACCTGTCCAAAGGTGGGGTCGATGCAAAAGAATTGTTCCATTTGTATATTGTCCTCTGGATTCAAGATAAGCGCCTTGCTTTGCTCGAATCATGCAAATTAGACAAGGTACATATATTATGTCTACGATAGTACTAGATATTTGTGATTTATTTCTTAACCTTTTTTTTGGTGTCCTTCGTGTGTGCAATCACAAGGAAAACTCATGCTATAGAGTTTAATCTACTTCCAAGGTCTCATTGCAAAAATGCCTGAACATCTAGGCGCAATTTCTCTTACACTGAAACTTTTCGAACAAAAAGAAAAGGTGCATGCTTGTATTTTATGCATCAGATCTAGCTGGATTCTTTTGCCTGATTTTTGTAATCTATGTTTGGAAGTTCTATATGGTCTAATGTAAGTTACTGGGAAGGTTTGATTTAGTTGTGTTGTGTATGATTCCTTGGATAAAGAGTTTACAAAAATGCTGATATGCATTAGCAATTCCTTTGTTACTTATTTTCTTGATTAATTGTGCTTTGTTCGATCATTATTTATGGGCCCATGAACCCCTATGAAAGCTTCCATATCTTGCAAAAAGTTTCTACCATCTGTGTTCTATAATTCTCGATGCTTAAAATTATTTATTTACTCGCAGGTGAAATGGTCTGGAGTTAGGACACAACATTCAACAACCCCGTTTATTGATGAAATGTATGACCGCCTGAAAGAAACTTTGAATGATTACGACATCATCATTTGCCGTGGCCAGAATATACCTTTGTTTTGGAGAATGTATGGTCAAATGGGTTCTTCATCCCTCAACTCTTTATCTTGTTTTTTCCTTCATATGCTGTGGAATGACATATTAGTTATTGACTCAGTATGGGGGTTACTTTGAACTTTGGCTTTTATTACAGTTGGCTGAAACTTTAAGATATCCTTATATAGAATTGGGTTTAGGGTCCAAACTAAATGTCAATGGATGAATAGAGCAAAGAGTTATCACGAGGAAGATTAAACTGCAGGCAGGGCAAAGGCTAGTTCTTTGATAATTAATAACTATGACCCGCGCAACTATTAAAAGAAGGCAGGGAAAGATGGAAAGTGGCTATGGACTCTACTATATCATTTTGTTGTGGATGCTTTATAAGATAAAAACTTGGATTGTAACTTGAACTTTCTTGTCTTTTTATTCCATAACAAGGCCATTGCGGACATCGAGAAAGCAATTGTGGAGGCCCTGGAAAAACAATATTCAGATGTCTTGTTGCCGTAAAGGAAAATTTGACACCCCGGAAATTTGGCCTCAAATATGTACAGAAGCTTGCCAACGATCTGTATGCCCCTTATGTGGTGCCTGATGAGGTGATTACTTGTCAAATTCTCAACATGTTTTTCATCTATATTCTTGTGGCCTGAAATTTGTTTTTGCACTTCAGCTTGGTGTGCTGTTGAATTCAATGAAGAGGATGCTTGATGTCCTGCGGCCAAAGATAGAATCCCAATTGAAAGCATGGGGTTCATGCATCCCTGATGGGGGAAACACAGCCCCTGGAGAACGATTAAGCGAAGTGACTGTGATGCTTAGGTCCAAATTCAGAAATTATCTGCAAGCAGTTTGTTGAAAAGCTTGCAGAAAATGTGAGTATAGCATTCTACACCTGGCCTTAAATTTTTGTTTCTTAATTTGTTTTATCTAACCATAGAAAGGTCTAGGGATCTTTCAGACCCAAATTTGTGTTTGTTGCCTATACACCTATGTGATATTTCCTGAAAAGACAGAAAACATATGAACAAATCACATGATATATTTATGGCTTGTGTGTGATCTAGTTAATACAAGAAGGATAAATGCTTTATGCCCCAAAAGAGGATGATGTTGATTTGAAAAATGTGAGGCCTTAAATCTACATAGCAAGTTTGTGTGCACTTATAATACTATATGCTTCTTGTAAACCGAGTGTTTGGACCGTGTCTCAGCTTATCTATGATAATGGTGTCCCAGCTGACATCTGGTTTGCCAGGTATAGCCTTATTTTATATTCTCCGTGTATACACAACTGTTGGAAGTTCATTTACCCACAGATCAATTTTCATGCAACTCCAAATTGCTCTTAAGGTGCACAAGTGCATAAGAATATGCTCCCCAATGTAAAGAACGTTTGTCTGGCATGTTTATGTGCATGTTCCTTTGCATGCGATCTGTTTTTCACCGGGTTTCTGGTTCTGCTGTACTAAGTTCATTGTGTTTTTCTTTGCATGACAAGTTGTTGCTTTCCTTGGTATTCTTCTCGATTGACCTTCTTTTTTCTCTTTCTTTGATCCAGACAAGACTACAGAGTAGTACAAAGCTGAAGAAAATTTTACAGGATTCAAAGATGGTGTAGTAGAGGCTGATGTCAGAACAGAATTCAGCCACTAAAGAGCAGCTTACGAATACAATAAATCTTCTACACACTATCTTCGAATCCCATGTATTCATTGCAACCTGTCGAGGTTATTGGGATAGGATGGGACAGGTAGAAATCGTAGAATTACTTGCATCTGGATACTATTAAGAAACAGAGTGAATAGTTTCACTCATCTGTGTGTTCATTTTGCTGCAGGATGTTCTTAGTTTTTTGGAAAACAGGAAAGAGAACAGGGCGTGGTATAAGGGTTCAAGAATTGCCGTCTCTGTAAGTAGCATTTTTTATTCTTCCAGTCTCGATTTGCTCTCCAAGTTCTGTTATTGACAATTAATTACAGTTATATGATAAAGAGACAGGATCTGAATACCTATGTTATCTATGTCTAAAAATCAAGGTGGTTATTTTTTGCTACATTAGGACATGGAGGTTTCTTGCAATCATTTTTTCATAACTGTTTGGTTTTGTGGTGAGAATTTGTAAATTAAATGGTAGGAGTCAACCTAATTAGTACTTACATAACTATATCATTGATTCTATATTGTAGTCCTTGCTGTCATATCCTCGTGTGATTTTTCGATTTGTTGTTCCATGCAGATTCTGGATGATACCTTTGCATCTCAGATGCAGCAGCTACTAGGGAATGCCCTTCAAGAGAAAGAACTGGAGCCACCAAGGTCCATAGTTGAAGTGCGTTCAATTCTTTGCAAAGATGCTCCGAGTAACAAGGGCAACAATTACTACTATTAGGTTATACGTACATATGCTCTATAAAAGGACTTTTTTTTTTTTTTGAGAGGGGAGGAGAGAGGAGAAGGGGCTTTGGACGGGGGAAGGGGGGGTATGCATTGACACCGAGTTTGAAAACAAGGTGTTGTATTGTTCACAGGCTGCATCGGTTTTTTGTTTTCAGGAAGCAGGTGACTCGGCTGCTCCAAATTCATCTATCTTCCCACAGAGGATTTCTCAGATTATTTTTGTAATTACTTTTAAAAATATAGAAAGTTGGTATATTATGCATTTTACATAATCCAGCTCCAGTATCTTTGCCTTATAAATTCTGTTCAGTCAGTTCGGCATGTGTACTTGTGCCTACAAACTTTCAGCTCAAATGATGAGATTACGTAAAGCTAGTCGAACAGTGCAACATTAAAGACTACATGTAAACATCGCCTCAAACTTGTCTAACTCTTGAAGCCCCGATGGTGCAAGGGACACAATCCAATTTAACCATCTCTTGGAATTAGACCATAAAAGATTTATTGTTCATGAATATTTTAATTTAGTGTTAATAACTTATTTTTTAACTACACTGGAGTGGATATTAGTCAAAATGTATGTAAATTAACCTTATTACTTTTGACTGTTAAATTAAAAAAAAAAAAAAAGCATACAACCCAATTTCATTTTGAAGTAATGTAACGAATAAATTGATTTCTAAATTGCAAATGCAACCTTTGCAGTGTTTTCCCCTCAAATTTTTTGTTCATGGTTAAGGTACGAAATTAGGAAGTGCATGCGTTACTGATGAACAGAGCCCTAATAACGTTCTCAACTACGGAAACATAGGCCAGAGAACAATTATACATTGGTTATCCAATCAACTGTAACAGTACATAGAACAGCTTTAAGTAAATAAATATTTACAGGATTAAATTACATCAGCAATCAATTGCAGTGTCACACAAAAAGAATAGCACTTACTATTGCGCAATTTTGACGAATACCAAGCTGCTTTGGCAGCACAAGCATATATACAACCATGATACAAAGCATCGGAACTTTCCCGAATGGTCAGCGCAGATTAGAAAAGCTTTGATACAACGCCATAAAAGGGCCAAAATGCTGCTGAGGCGGCCCTAAGAAGGGCAGGATTTTGGTAAATCCTGTTTGAAGCAAACACAATGCCCGGAAGGAAGTCAGACTGTAGATACTGATAATAATCCGGAATGAACAGTCAAAATAAGAGAGATACTGATAATAATCCGGAAAATGCAGAACTCTAATTTCCTCTATCGACAATAGCTTCAAGAACACATGCATATGAGGATGCTAAACCTTTTGCCTTCTGCTTTATTTCAAGTGGGAATGGTGAAATAAGACATTTGAGGATGCTTAAATGCAGCTTCGAATTCATCAGCTGTTTTAAACCCCAGGCATGGGCTCACAGTCCAACATCAAATCCCCCATGACATCCAAGAACTGGAATGTGAAAGTTGAAAAGGTAATAACCACTCCTCACAAGTGTATATTACCAAATGAGGCAGACATAAAAACAAGCAACACTTATAAGAATGGTTGGTTTCAGAAGTCTTTTAAGGATACACAGCAGCATCTCAAAACCAAACATTGGGAACACATGTTGAGAGTAAAACCTTGACAATTTGACAAGCTTGAGTGAACTGAAGACTAAAGGCTTCACTGTGCACAACCATGAACAAATACATGTCTTACCAGTTTCACAAATTCAATTGTCATAATCATATAAAAGCAAACCGGAAATTAAAATCCAATTTCAATCCAGGGGTTGATTTGCACAAGATTGCTAGTCCTGCACAATCCTTGCATTGCAGACCCCTTGATTCTATTTTTATATCGATATGCCTGCAGGCATGAGTGCTCAGCTACTCCTATAGTCTAAATTCCTAGTAGTCTTTTTCAATTGTTTTAGTTTTAACGAGAAGAAAATAAAAACCCTTTTTCAATGCACTTAATTTGTAAGCGCTATGCAACTTCTCAACTACAAAATTAGCAAGTTATGTTTCATCATTAGATTTGTCACACATTCACCCTTCAAAATGATGCTTAAGCAAGTATTCCCATTAGCAAAAGGGAATTCAGAATATTGGTCAACTGTAAAGCTTCAGCATTGTTGTGCCAATCACCTATGAAATCAAATCACAAACAGGGCATTCAATGATATATGGTTGTAGCTCAAACTTTAGCCAAACACCTTGCATTAAAATATTGTTAAATAGAACGCAAATTATATATATTCACCAAATCAAATTAAATAGCTTACCCAATGGCTGTAGCACCCCAGGATGCTACGTTATATATGACCTTGCTTCCATCCCATGCCTTCCGAAGCTTTCCCTTCTTCTTCTTCACAGAGAATGTCCTGCTCAGAGCTGAAACAATGTTCAAGAAACTTAGACCTCTTTTCCCTCAGTATCTGACAACCAAACTCTACAAAAAAAATAAAAAAATATTGTGCAAGTATAATAAACACAAAGCCAGTTAGATACGGCTCTTTTCTGTTTCTTTTCATGCTCTTCGAAACGATATCTGGAAGAGTTCACTGCAAGGTCATATCTCAAGGGAAGAGCAATCCCACTCACCATCCTGAAGCTGATTCGGGGTCAAATCCTGAAAAACAAAGCAAAAAGTTCAATGTCAGGAATAGACATTCCGCTTGAAGGAACAATATTGAGTTTATTCTAATCTGCAACAAACATTCAGGTTGATTTTCAGAACGACAGATTGATCACTTTGAATATAGATAATACCACCATTATCCTCATTTTACACCTAAACAACATACTAAACTGGCTGCTGCTAATTATGTCCTTAACAACTACAAAGTACAAAATATGCAGCAATGACCCATGTCAGGCTATTTCCAAGTAAGCCCAGTAGCAGGGTCATAGCTGTAAAGCCCAGGGCGTGCATATTTTCTCTTGGGAGATTTTCACCTCCTAGTAATAGTAGTAGTGTCTTTAACTACCTTCTCCCGACATCTTAGTATGTGACTTAAACAAAATATTTTAAATCATACACAAAGATTGGTATAAAAGAACCGCTTCATAACAGAATAGGGATAGTGGGTGGGTTAAATTAACTGGATAGGGCAGAAGGGATAACATGAATGAGCAGAGGCCTCTAATCTCCAAGCATTAGAATATACTAGGTCTTTATTCCCTAAACTGATGGCACTGAAAAATTTTAAGATGGCACCAAGCAAATGAAGGTAAGCCAAGTCTTATTCTCAACCTGGATATCCAGCAGTACCAGAATTTGAGGAAAGCTTATGGCTCCTAACATACATGGCAATATGTAGGTAGACAAACTATGGTTGAACTAGAGCAAAGGAGGATAAAGACATGCTGCTGAATCTTCTCCAATATTTCCACTAAAAGAACCTTGTAAATGAAGCAATTATAACCAAAAAGATGAGTGCTGCAAAAAATAAAACTTAAACAAGCCTTTTCTCAAAAGCCAGTAAAGAAGAAAGCAAAAATGTAGCCATATGCACGAGATTGCTAGTCAATCAAGTTGCAAAAAACACAGTTCACACAATGCTCAGTTGTTGAGGCATCAACCACAATGGCAGAGGAAAATTAATTGAAGCAATGGATTTAAGAGAATTGAACGGAGTTTTTCAACTGATAGACAGGGGGGGGGGGGGGGGGTGTAAATACCCTGAAAAGGTGCAAATGAAGCAACAAGAAGGCATTTCACGTACCTTAGCCTCTTTAAGGGACAACAGATAGGCAGCCATGAAGCATGCAATACCATCCACTATATCTTCTTGCCTAATTAGCACATACTCTTCTGTATCTAACTCATTATTCCCTCCTTCCCAAATATCATTTTCGCCAACCATGTCCCAGGAACTGCCTTCTTCTGCATCATATAGGGATTATAGAAGCAATTCCAATTAAGTATCAACTCTTCTGAGGAAAGTGGAGGGGAGATAGGGAGGGGGAGAAGGAGCAGAAGTTTTCAAAGCCACAAGGAAAATAAAGAAAAAAATGTTCTAGTTAAGGCACGTGAATGCGTACCCGCGACATTGTGTGGAACGGATGCCTGTTCACTCTCTAGCTTTTCAAGAAAATCAGGGCATTCCACCCTAGACTTCAGGAGATCGCACAACTGCAAATAGAAAAAAGATGCAGCCGATTTTTCAGCAGCTAACATCTCCTATGGGGTAATTTATGTGGGGAATGATGAAAGCATCCTTATCATGTTAGACTTCCAAATAACATACTGACATGAGTTCCTTGTAAATTTCATATGTAAACCACAAAAATCACACAAAAGGGATTTGAATGAAACTGAATTCTTTGGATCATGATAGAACTGCACGAGATATATAAAATTGTATAAAGAGCAAAACAAATGCTTTTTAGAACTGCAAAAGAGCTAGATTGTTTTATGATACCCCTTCCATCACGTATCAGAAGTTATGCCGCAAAACAATAGCCCATCACAATCTATTCACTAGATTATCATATTTTCTAGCTCAACATACAACTAAAATTACTCTAAGACAGCCCCATTTAAATCAGATAGTCGAGACTAAACAAACTCAAATCGCTATAAAAACACCTGAATCTAATGGAAAGAAATAGAAAGAAAGAAATCACACACAAACCAAACGAAAATCCAGACTTTCAAAGATCTCGATATCATAGAATAAATCACACTTTGCCAACAAAGAACCCCATACTTTACCTCTTCGGTTTCGTTATCACGACACGGCACCGAGGAGGCCATACCGGTCTCCTCTGCATCATCGGCATCTACATTCCTGTCATCTTCTTGATCGTTTTTATCATCAACAAAGCCGGTGTTACTAAGCAATTCAAGAGTTCTCTGGCACTGCTCAAGCACATCCTGCAAGGTCTTCCTCTTCACCCGAATCCGATCCCTCTCTGACTTCGCCCTCTCAATTCCAACACCGATCGGTTTCGCACCTGAGACCTCCACCTCCATGCCTCCACAATGCATACACCTATTACCTATACATACAAATACAATGTCCTTCTCTCTCTCTCTCTCTCTTTGTTTCTATCAAAATTCAGAGAGATATTTGGGGAGCTCGAAGATGTAGAATAAAAATTATTATTCGGCCAATATTGGCTTTGTGATTGAGTTCGTACTTTTTTGGTTTGGTGTGATGGAGAAAAAGAGAGAGGACAGAGAGAGAGACAGGGGAGGTGAGCCGCCTGCGTTTAGTTTTACTTTCACATGCTGGAATTGATTTAGCCGTGTGTAGTGTGGGGTCTGGCCCAGGGGTGCAGTGAAAGGCGAGAATTTGGAATTGCTCCCCCCCGAGTGGCCGAGAGATAGAAGAAGATGGGAAGATGTCAAATTTGGCTTACCGTAAACTTACCAATAACCTGTGCAGAAAAATACTCTCTATTATCTGTTTGGCGTACCAAAATTCAATTACACTTAAAAATATAAACTCCAACCACTTCCATAATCGAATGAGTTTAAGATTCTAAAATTATAATTATTCAGATGATTATAGTGAAACGTAAGGTTATCTCTAAATTTTTTTTTTGTCTTTAAGATCAAGAGTTTTAAATAATTTTCGAACTAACTACGCATAATAGACTAAAATATAAAATAACAAATAAACTAAACTTGAAAAATGAAATAGTATTGTATTTAACATTAAATGAAAAGAGTAAAGACTATCAGAGTGATGAATTACAAGTAAAAGTAAAAATTACTTGGAAATAAATAACAAATAGAATAAAGGTTGACTCTGTGTAAAATTGTATGTTTAATCGCCTATCTTTTCTCTGTAACACTGTCTTTGTTATTTATAGGGATGACTTTCAACCATCGAAATCATCATTTTCGCCATGACTGTAATTATGAATTTTTTCCTCCAAAATCAAACTAATTTTAACCGCCCACATCCTTAACATTGACTCAAATTTGTTCCTTCAAGCACTAAGGAACTGTTAAACCATAATTAGTGACATTACACTAATAAATTAATACATAAGTGAAGTCCATATAGCGCACATTTGCGTAGTAATTGAATTAAATTTATTGTGCTAGATGAACAAGGAAATTGTCGTAAGGTTCGGAATCACTTCAACAAGGGGACATGTCATCAATAGGAATTTTTTTGATGGATTTATCAGGGAGCGATGTTATATAGACTTAAAAATTAGATTTGATAATTTTAACCATTGATTTCATTGTGGGTCCTATTATTTATTGGGACCCACTACCTATTCAATGATTGAGATTATCAAGTTTAATTTTTAAGTTCATCAAACATTATTTTTTACCAAGTGACCAAATTTGATAAAAGTCTTTCATATTTATAATTGGTCAAGAGACACACTTGTCGGATATTCACAACCTTTTGAAGGAAAACTTATTTGATATGTAACTATTCACAAATAATTGTCAAAATATTTAAAAAAAAAAACAATTATTTTTATGTTTTCGACAATAAAGGAGTTGCGGAGCAATGAAGGTTAGGGTTAGGGGGAGGACGTGGAGTAGATTTGGGTGGAGGCGTGGATAAGTAGAAGAATATGGAAAATTTAAGGGGGGGTTCTCTTTTATATTTTTATGTTTCAAGATTTTATATTTATACATAAAAATATGATTTATAATTTAATACCGGGTTAGAATCAAATGTTTTTTTTTTATGTTTTAATATTTTATATTTATATGAAATAATATACTCTACAATTTATATAAAATTATTAATTAATAAAAATTAGAGTCAATTTTTTCAGAAAGAATTTTAATCGAAGTTTGAGTTAAATTCCAACTCTGACAGAGACAGAAGTGGATCTAAATCAGAGTCCGGGTCAAATTTTTATATATTTGCGCACCCCTAATATCAAGTCAAAATGTATCATACCGTTAATCTAACACTAATGCGTATCCCCCCTCCCCCAACCCGATTAGGCCCAACGGACAGCCCAGAGCCAACCACAGTGGTAGGGCTCATACTAATTTGCAGGCAAGTTTGTGGGCTGTATAAGTCCTGGTCCACGGCCCGAAGTAAGGGTGTAATTCGGCGGGTTTAAGGATTAACCCAAGACGAATTGACCATTATGTGTTAATACTTTAAATAATGTAATTTTTTAATTTGTGGACTGTATTTTATAAAAAGTAAGGAAAAATTATTGATACTCTGAAGAACAAAATATTTCATTGATGGTACTGTGCAACATATATTCTCCGGAGTTTTGTTAAAATCATTGTATTACTGTGAAGAAAAAATTAGATCTTACATTGCGGTTTAAAATTTTTTATTGTAAAGCTTTGTATTTGTTATTGAATGAGAGAATCTTTTTCTAATGAGAGAGAGAGAGAGAATAAATTTCAATTTCAATTTAGGAGTAAATTAAGGAATAATAATTTTTAATTTAAAGCTACTTTCAAGGTCTTTAAAATTTCTATAATTGAACACAATAACACTATTAAGGGTATTTTTGAAATTTAAAAAAATAATGGACTTAAGTACTTATTAGTAAGATAAAAAACAAACTTATCACCGAATAAATTTTCTTGACAGACTCAAGTCATTATAAGTTTATCTAGGAGGATTCAGCCTCAATTTTCACTAAAACTTTTAACCCTATTCCAACCCAAGCTTGACTTTAAACTCGAGGTATTCAACTTGAGTATTGTCCAAGTCAATTTCGGGCATGACACAATAATTGACTGACTTATATATATATTTCAATTTCGGATTGAACCTGAATTTAATAATTCGAGTTGAACCCATGAACTCGAAATCTCAACCTGACATGCAATCTAAATTTCAAAAATTTTAACCCAAACTATTTTTTGAACGAGTTAACCCGTTCAAGTTACACTCTTACTCAAAATAGTACGCCAACAGCCCATTGTTGACTCAGGTTCCCTAAGCTGCTCTAATTTTTACATTATTGTTTAAATTATAGGGATTTGGAGGTCGGTCCTTAAGCCCAATATAATTTCAAAAAAAAATTGGGACTTAGGAAGGACGGTACCTCCCGAAAAATTTAATAGGATAAAAGTACATTTTTAAAAATTATTGGGATACAAGTACATCTACTAAAAAAGAGTCATAAATAGTGTATATCTAATTGAATGTGATATTTTTAAGATTAAAATGTGAAAATTTCAAGATTCCTTTTGATATTTATGTATCATTTGAAATTACATATACATATATATATATATATATATATATATATATATATATATATATATATATATATTTGTCCATTCAACGAGTTGTATATAAAGAGGGATTCGAAAAATTGTTATGTAAAGAATGTCACCAAAAAGAGATACGAGATAATGACAATGAGGTCTAATCAATAACATCATGTAATGTCCTCTTAATAATGCCCAAGTAGTATTAGTAAAGAGTGATAACAATATATTGACCATAAATGATGACAATATATATTTGCCCACTCAAAGAGTTACATCTAAAGAGGGACGCAAAAAATTGCTATGTAAACAGTGTCAACAAAGAGAGACACAAGATAATGACAATGAGAGTCCAATTAATAACATCATGTAATGTCCTCTTGATAATGTCCAAGTATTGGCAGTAAAGATTAACAACAAAAGATTGATCTTAAATGATGACAATATATATTTGTCTACTCAAAGAGTTGCACTTAAAGAGGAACTCGAAAAATTACCATGCAAACAATGTCACCAAAAAGAGACACGAGATATTGACAATGAGAGTCCAATCAATGACATCATATAATGCTCCTTTAATAGTGCCCAAGTAGTGTTAGTGAAGAGTAATAACAATAGATTAATCATAAATGATGATAACATATATTTGTCTATCCAAAGAGTTGCACCTAAAGAGAGACTCGAGAAATTGTCATGCAAAAAGTGTCACCAAAGAGAGGCACGAGGTAATGACAAAGAGAGTCCAATCAATGATATCATGTAATGCCCCATTAATAGTGCCTAAGTAGTGTCAGTAAAGAGTGACAACTAAACTATTGTTTGATGAGCGTTTTACTGTTTGATGTTATTATTTTTTTGTTAAACGTGTTACTGTTTGATATTATTATATGTGTGTGTGTATATATATATATAGGGAAAATTTCATCAACACTCCTTCTAAATAGATCTATTTTTAACGACACCTCTTACCTTTTCTGAAATTTTACTGACCTCCCTTGTCAGTGTTAGTCGGCTAACAGACGTAACGGAAATAGACGTTTTACCATTTTACCCATGAGTTTTATAAAAAATTACATATTCACCAATTATTTTTCATTAAACTATATATAAATATATATTCCTATTTCCAAGTGTTATGTGCAGTACTATTAAACTATATATAAATATATATATATAGTTTAACTGTATGGTGTCATCGATTTTTTTTAAAAAAATGATTTTGAATTTTTTTATTGTATTATGTTTAAGCGTACAGTATTACCAGTTTTTTTTAAAAAAATTATTTTGAATTTTTTCCTTATATTATGTTAAGTGTACGGTGTCACCTTTTTTTTTTTTAAATTATTTTGAATTTTTTTCTTATATTACGTTTAAGCGTACGATGTCACTGGTTTTTTTTTAAAATTTTTTTTTTTAAAATTATTTAAAATTTTTCTTTGTATTATGTTTAAGCATACGATATTATTGGTTTTTTTTTAAAAAATTTTTTAAAAATTTTTTCCTTGTATTAAGTTTAAACGTACAATGTCACCGTTTTTTGTTTTAAAATTATTTTGAATTTTTTTCTTATATTATGTTTAAGCGTACGGTGTTACTGGTTTTTTTACTTTTAAAAAAAATTAAAAAAAAATTATTTTAAATTTTTTCTTTGTATTATGTTTAAGCGTACACTATTATCGGTTTTTTTTTTTAAAAAAATTATTTTGAATTTTTTCGTTGTATTATGTTTAAGCGTACGGTGTCACCGTTTTTTTTTAAAATTATTTTGAATTTTTTTCTTATATTATGTTGAAGCGTATTATGTC